GAGGTCATACGAAACCCATGTCAATTTACCAACTCAGCCTCTTTAATTAGCGGCTACTTAGCGGCTACATGCCGACATCCAATGGGCGAGATTGCGCAGCTAGACGCGACTACCTTCAGCACGCCGGCGTCACTGGCACTGCACATGACGGCAAGTGTGACGGCCGTAAAAGTTGAGGACGGGGGGCAATACCATTCAAGGAAGATCTTATCGTCCGAGAGGCTTTCGACCAATGTTTCCTGGCCACCCGTTTTTGTTGCAGCACTTTTGTTTCGCCATTATTATCAGCGGGTCCCGCTGATAGCCACACATATCAAAACTTAATGCAACAAAAAAATCGCGGAGCCATTCGGACAAAAGCTCGGTCCAATGTCGTCCTTGAATCGTACTGCCCCCCGGTCACTTGTAAGTTTGCCGGTACTAGTGCCGGGACCCCACTACCTCGAGACCCTGGGGGGTGCACTTGTAGTCGGAGGACCCGATGACTGGCGAGAACTCGGAACCGCCGGCGAGCTCGCTAAGCCGGCCAAGCCTGGCTTATTTGACCCCGTCTATTCCTTCGTAGCAGGTAAAACCTTTCATGTTGAGGAGCGTGTCGTCACCGCCTTTGCCGAGAACGTACTCAGTGAGCGCATCGAACTTGTACTCGTTCGTATAGTGGAGAGCTGTGCATCCCGTCGAATTCTGCGCGTTGATGTCCGCGCCGCGGCGCAGGAGCATCTTGAGCATCTTCTTGCTGTTTTGTTGCGCAGCGATGATGATGAGCGTGTTGCCATGTGCGTCCCTGTTCTCAATGGAGACCTCCTGGTCGAGACATTCTTCTACACCGTCACAGTGGCCCAATTTGCAGCGTACAAAGCACAGATTTTCAAGCTCAGAAAAGATGTCGGCGTTTGTCGCGGTGGCCTTGCCAGATTGGGCAAGGAGCCTGTCCTTGGCGCCCATTGCCGCATCTGGCGTCATATTCTTTTCACGCTCAAGCGCGCGCACGGTCGCCTCGAGAATGTCCGTGATCAGAATGCAGTCGTCGCTCAAAGTTTGGAACGTCATTGGTTCGTAGCTGATCCCGCTTGCTGGGTGCACCATACCAACGATCGTAGGGCGACTTGCCGTATTTACGACGGAATCGACAGCGCCTTGTATCCGCGCTTCGATAAAACTCGCACGCATCGTGACCTGTGGCGATAGGGTGAGGGGGGACAGGGTACGAGGCACATGGGTGATTGAGCTGCACGTCCTCGAGACATTCCTTTGTATACTACACTGCCATTGACGTCATGTTTCTTGTCGCGATGAAGGCGTCGCCAGGCGTTATGGCTGCCATCTGGATCTCCGGGCTTGACTCCAAGCTCGAGAGGAGGAATGACCCCTTCGTCTATATCTCTATCATCGTCCTCGATCGGCGAGCGGTCGAGGAGCGCCAGGTCCTACATGGAGTAGATTGATTGTCGGGTGTAAGGGAGTCCGGAGGGGGGCAGGGGTACGACCTCTGGGTGTTCTGTCGCTTCTTCGAAAATCTCGCGGGCCTCGGCGTCTCTGACAAGCCTGACGTTCCCTGCTGACTGAGCGACATGGAGCGAGGAGATACCGAGCTTGTGAGCGAGCATATGGACAACGCCGTCGCTCGCAACGAGCGCATCCCTGCCATTCAGTGACTCCCCTGGCCCCGTGAGTGCGCTCTCGGCGTCAGCATCGTCATCGTTATCGTCATCGTCACTGCCACGAACCTGGCCGTCTGCGGGCCCGTCGCCGTAGATTTCGTCTTGAGCGTCGTTACGTAGAGCTTGGGATTTGCGCCGTTTTCTGTCAGCGAGGAGTGCGCGGCCATCAACGATTTTTTGCGCAAGGCGTGCCTCTCGAGCTTCTAATTCCTTGCGCCTATTCGGAGACAGACTTTGACTGACAACCAATGCGCGCGGATGGTGTGAGAGAGAAGGTCATCATCATAGCTTGCGATGCCATAGCGCCGTTCCTGCCGTTTCCACGCGGGTAATCGCTCGCGCTCGGCCTTGAGTCTCTTCACGAAGGCGGCAAGGCCGCCACGGCTAAGAGCTCGAAAGCCGACGTGGCGAAGATGAACCGTGTAGAAACCAGGGTCGTTGGATCCCTGGTGACGTGTTTTGCGAAGGATGTGGACGTAGTCGTCAATCGTCCGGGACCGCGACAGGACTTCAGTACAGAGTTCCTCGCTATGTCGAGTCGAGCGGCCCGTGAGGCTGCCCTTGTTAGGCGTCGCACCGAATTGTGTGAGGCTGAAGACACGCGTGTCCATGTCGAGGACGGGCACGAGGAGAACCGATACGGTCTTTAGGCGGAAGCCGCGGTCGTCGACACAAGGTGCGGCACGGCGGTGCGTGGGGGTTGTCGGGGGCGTTCCCCAGTGTGCTGGTACGTCGCTTCTGCCTTCATCACACTCAGAGGCTGGCTGCCAGTCGAGGTCCGTTTCGCACGCCGTCAGCACAACAAGGCGGGTCGAGAACTCATCCGTCACCCGCGACTCCAAGGAAGCACGAGCTGCGCGGCCCGTGGCATCCGAGCCACGTGCGAGTGGGATGGTGATGTCGCGAGGACACTCAAAGACGCTCGGTGGGTTCAGGTTTGCCGTGTCCCAGGACGTCTGCTTCGGCGCAAGGACGATGAAGTCGAGCGCCATCGTGACAGCGATTTTGACACCCTTCAGGGATCCAGGTGTTGTGTCGCGCGAGAACGTTGCCACCTGTGCGAAGAAACTCCCCGAAGGAGAAAAAAAAGGGCGGGTGTCTCGCAAAAGGCGGTTGTGACGCCCGACACCCAATGCGTCCGATGCACGCGTCGAAATCTGAGGCAGATCGGCGCAGGGCATCGCAGCTCCACTCTGATCGACGTCGGCGTCATCGTGGTGTCTGTCTGGGAGGAGGCCTCGCGCAAAGCATATGTTGACGGCAAAGCGCAGGCCTGGAGGCCCCACAACGCAGAGGCCAGGCACAACAAGTGCGCGGTCCACGTGACCACAAACAGCGACTGCGAGGCCTGCGTGCGTATTCAGGAGGGTTGGATATAACTGCCACGCGGGGAATCCCGCTGACGGGGCGCCGACCCATCGCTTGGCACAGACGACCGCACAGCGCCCTGCCAGGTGATGTCTTCATCGTCCCAAGGCGGGGGATTCCGGAGGCCCTGGGCCGCTGCATCCTTACCGAAGCAATAGCCTTCGACGGGCCGCCACTCTTCCTCTCGCCTCCCATAGTCGACGCTTCGCTCCGTCGCAGCGTAGACGACCTGCGTGACACGTGGCATTACGATGGCCCCTTCGCTGACTTGGCGCCACGCCTTCGTGCGCAAGCGTACTTATAGGCACACATGGACACGGGCCCATGGTGAGGTCAGGGACTCGCTCGTTGCCGGGCCGCGACGTGTCGAGGGAGATGGCTCCGATAAGGGCCAGCGTCCGAGCAACGAGCCGCTTGAAGTCAAAGCCGTGGCCAAGCCATGAGTTTAGACTATCGGGTGATCGAAGCCGGAGTGATTCGTCAACGACTTCGAACTGTTCAACGAGACGTGCATAGATTCCGCCTTGGCCGTGCTCGCACCACCAGGTCACTGACGTCAGCCTTGCATGGCCAAGGCCGAGATGCCTGTGTTTCCACCGGTATCAGGAGTATGCGTCGGTCGATCGTCGGTTGGGATGCAGACTAGTCTGATGGACGCGAACGGTGTATTCAACTCACAGTAAATTGGAGTGGCGTGCGCACATGCGAGCGATGTAGCATCGCCTTATCGAGCGACACTGGCAGCGCGCGACACTACCTCAAGCGCATCGAGACGGTGACGACGGACACGGAACGCTTGACCTGTGCAAGTGACAACCGTGAACGCAGCACTGGCGACGGAAATTTGGGTCACATTGGTCAGAGACGCACACCTCTCACTTCATATAAATTCCCAAAGACAGCAAACCTGCTCGAGAAGGCCCAAGCAGAGACGACCGAACGACGCATCCGGACGCATCCATATTTTACAGGCGTGATCGTCTCCAATAATTAACGCTGACACGGGACGCAACCATGGCCCCCAAGCAAGACCAGATCGAAGAATACAATGCGATCCTTGTCGTGTTCGTGTGGCTCACACACGTAAATATGCAGCGCACAAGCCGTCATTTCTCGAGCACCGGGCCCTGCAGTTCCACAGCCCTGGGCGTGAACCTGTGAGGACGGCATGTTGAAGTCTGTCGAGAGCCGGACCTCATGCAGCAAGTTAATCTCGTTTGTCACCAGAAAGGCGAACCCCTCGGGGATACAGGGTTACTAATCTCGAAACCCGCCATCGACCAAACATTAAAATCCGGAAGATATGAACCCAGGCTCAATATCTGCGCTGCAGCGGACGAGGTAGCGCACACGCGGCGAAGGTCGCAAAGCCGGCGGAGGTCGCGCTTCGACGAGTGGAGCATGGCGCAGTATCGCATCTTCATCATTTACGGCCGTGATCTCAGTGCCCGTCAAGGCATCATAAAAGCCAATGCGCCATTTGGGCTGTCGGTCACAGAATGGCCAGAACCTCCGCTCAACTTTGACCTCGTAGGCGACGCCGGCATGCACCACCGGCTCTGCCGCAAGTAGCGTCACTGTGACCTAGAAGCCGGCTGGTTGTCCCACCGAGCTAGTGTGTCACATCACGATAAACCCCCCACACCCCCTTGCTGTCCGGACGGACGCAGCGATCCAGACGGGGGCTATCGCAAACCTGTGCCAAAAGAAACAAAAAGTTAGTCAAAATCCCATTTTATGTGCGGGGCTTGTGATCGATGTATAGGTCGCTCGGCACAGTCTCGGGCGTGTCCTCTCATCGAATAACGAATGGACTTGAGGAACGAAACTCTTCTTGTTGTCATAAAAGAAATCGCAATTTTGCGCAGTTGACGACGTGACTGGTGACGTAGCTGGTGGCGCCAGCGTGGGCGCGGCACCACGCGATATCACACCCGGAGCTAGCCCTAGAGTTTGATTCGCACACCGGGTCATGGCTATGGCGACGGACTGGATTTGGCTACCAACGTCAGCAATGGCCCGGGTGTCGATTCGAGCGTGGCGTAGTCTCCGCCCAACGTTGCCATCTTCGAGATGATCCAGGTTCGTGAGCCAGATCTGGTGCACGTCGAGCACAAAGCGCCGTGCGACGCATCGCCTAGGTATTGGGCCGCGGCTCAGACTTGTGGGAAACACAAGATTGGGAGGGCGCAGGCGGACCGTGCATGCGCGCGCGCCCCAGGCAGCGGCGATTTTCCTCAAGAATGTGTTTGTCGCAGAAGACGAGGAGCGGATGGCGGACAACGTGAACGGCGCCGATGATAACATTCTTTCGAGCCATTTCCACCTGAAGCGCCTGTGCCTCGACACTAACCCTGTATGCCTTTTCCCGATTTGTTTCATTGCGATATTTGCAAGCGAGATCTTCCACGGACCAGTTTATTGGACCTGTTTTCTCGCGCATGTCTTTCTTTCGGTCTCCACTGTCATGTATTGCAGCGCCGAGGGACGTCACAGTTGAAGATGGCCGAGAGGCATCACTACCACCTGATGTCTGCTGCGGACGCACCCCACCATATAAACCGCCCATACTATATGCACCCAACTCCGGAGGCGCATTAGCGACGAAGAAGGGCGATGTCCGAAGTTTCTCGAGAGCCTCCTGCTTTGTCGGTATACGCCGCATCCGAGCCATGGTCAGAGATTTCAGCGCGCCATTCTGCTGCGATCGCGACGACGATAGGGTCGTAGCTGACACCGTTCCCGAGGCACTACCCGACGTCCCTCGACCACAAAGTGCTGGGAGCTCGCTGGCGCGGCGCGAGGCTCTAGCCACCGATCCCTGGGGCACGTTCAATCCCCGGTCTCCCTGTTGTGACAGC